TCTTTCTTTCTTTCTTTCTTTCTTTCTTTCTTTCTTTCTTTCTTTCTTCCTTCCTTTCTTTCTTTCTTTCCCCCTGAGGCCAGCCCCGCCCATCTACCATAGAACACTGCTACTTTTATTATGATCATTGTCTTTCCCTGAGGTCACTACCCTGCCCTTAGCTGACGTTTATCGAGTACTTACTGAGCTGGACTGTAACCTCAATTGCCTGTAAGCCTGGTGCTGTACCCATTTTATAGTGAGACAGTTGGATTTCAGAGGGTCATGCAAATGGCTTTCCCTATCAAGCCTATGGCTGATGAGTAGAAATTTAGACTCTGGATAGCCAGGCCTTAGCTGCCTTCCTCAAATCTGTGGTGTTCCACTGCAGTCCTGTCCCGGCTGCCTCGAGGGTTGCTGAACATCAGGGCAGTCCCATAATTGGTGTTAGGTGACCTTGGGTACCAGTGAGAAAGTCAACAGCTTGCTAGAGGCAAGAGGTGGGCCGGCCTGAGGATCTGCATTGAAAAAAAAATCCTCCAGATGGTGCTAGAGAGATGGCTCAGCAGTTAAGAGCACTGGCTGCTCTTCTAGAGAACCTGGGTTCAATTCCCAGCACCCACACGGCGGCTCATATTGTCTGTAACTCCTGTTCCAGGGGCTCTGACACTCTCATACAGACATACCTGTAGGCAAAACCACTGATGTACTTAAAATAAATAAATTATTTTTAAAAAAAGAAAAGAAAAGATCCCCCAGAAAATGAGGATGCGGCTGGCCGTTGGTCCGGGTGGTGCTGCTGCCAGAGTCCCCTCAAACTTCCTCCCGCCCTCACCTTGCTGCAGATGAGTGAGGGGCTCTGCAGACCTCTTCCTGTGAGCTTACATGGATGTTATCCTACAGGGGAAGCCTGCAGCATGGTTGCCGTGTCCTCCCCTACGCATGGGGATTGCCTGCTGCATGAGTCTCTTCTGCAGCTTAGGTTTTTCTCTGGCACGTCTCCAAGACGATCCCTAGATCTGCCTCATTCTTTTCAATAAGACTGGTGTTCTGTAATAGAGGCGTGTTACGGTTTTATTTCCAACTTATCGTCTAGGTGGTCTTCCACACTTCAGACATTATCAATAATCCCCCAACACGCTTGTGGACTTAGGCGTCTCATGAAAGCTTGGAAATCACTCAGTGTCAAGACATTATTCGCCCCTTGTTCTGTTCTGTGATTATTAAAGAAGGACACTAGCCATGAGGCATTGCGTTCGAGGTGAGGGGCACTTATATAAAATGGTAACTGGTTACTGGCGCTAGTAAAGTTTTCAGCGAAGCAGTCCTTGTAAGAGGAAAGACAAGTTGTGCGGGCAGGGCCTTGAGGGATGTGTAGGAGTACAAAGGGAAAGGAAAGAGGGCAGCGGGGCTTTGTGCTGCAGGGCCCACCTTACCTTCCCGTAGGCTCAGTAGTTTTAAGGAATGAGGCAGATCTTTACACTTACTGGTTATCTGGCAAATTTGGGTCTTGGTGGAGGGTCCAGATCAACAGCCCTTATGAATGAGCAGGTTCCTGGCTGGGCATGGCCACAGTCAGCTCTGACTACACTCTGACCACCTCTTTCCTTCCTGTCTCCTCAGGGTGGGGAATCCGGGGAGGAACAGCTGTGTGCTGACCTGCCGGAGCTGGACCTCTCCCAGCTGGACACCAGTGACTTTGACTCAGCCGCGTGCTTCGGGGAGCTGCAGTGGTGCCCGGAGACCTCAGAGACAGAGCCCAGCCAGTACAGCCCTGATGACTCCGAGCTCTTCCAGGTGGGCCCCGACTCTCGCCAGTCCCGGGCTGTGCCCTAAACAAATCTTAACAACAGCCTCAGAAATACAAAGCCGACCTGCTTCCCGAGCCAGGACTTTGTGATCAGGCCTCTGGGATGGGGCTTGTGGTATACTGAGCATCTCTGCAGTACTGTTCCTGCCTGTGTGTGTTGCCTCACTCTGTTCTCCCAGCAGCTCCTACCAGAAAGAGCCCCCAGAGGTTCAACCAAACCAGCCATTCTGCAGAGTACTCTCAGTCCCTGTGGCTTGGGCGCCCAGCCCCAGGCACATGATGGCTAGCGTTTCTTTTAAGAAGGCTTCTTCAGGAGACTAAAAGCATGAGACGTCTGGGCTGTTCTGCAAAATAACGCAAGGTCTACAGACATTTGCTTGTGTGTGTTGGTTGAGGCAGGGGATGCATTGCATGGTTAAGGATGAAATAAGACTCACCATGTTGAAGCTGAGGCAGGTGCCTAGGCTCAGTGTGCCTCTGTGGTGCTTAGGCAGCACTATACCGCACACATGTGGGCTTGTAAGCCATTGGGCGTCACAGATACTCCTGTGGAGGGAGCTAGTCTGTCCTTCCAGAGCTGCCTGTCAAGCCCCTTGTGTGTCAGGAGCTGAGGTCATCAGTAAGTAGACTCAAAGTCTGGAGGAGGAGACGTCCCTAGATTAGCAAACATATAAGCCAACAGTAGGGACTGCCAGGGCACAGGGCAGAGGATGGCTGGAGGCTGGTGTCAGGAACGGGCCTCTTGTGTTTAGCCGGGGAGGGGAGAATGGAGGGCAGAAACAGTGATCCTGGGGCAGCCCCTGGGAGCTTTTAGTGCTGGGAAGGAAGTATAGGCAGGCGGGACCTGACCATGGAGTCTTGTAAAAATAGTACGGGTTTTCCTTGAGAAGGTTCTAACCTATAAATTGCATATTGTTAATCACTCATTTTATAGGCAAGGAAAATAAAGCTCAGAGAGCTGGAGTGATGGGTTCAAGGTCACACAGCGAGGAAGGATCAGGGCAAAGGTTCTAACTTAGGAGCCCACAACCTGCAACCTACACTGCTATATGGAATCCCTTTACCAATCTTGTGAGAGCTGGGCCCTGGGCCTGTCTGGCTCCATCCAGGATCTCTCTGTCTCTTTGACTCTCTCTCTGTATGCATATGGAGGTCAGAGGACCACCTCGGTCGTTCCTCAGGCACCATATACCTTGCTTTTTGTCTGTGTTTGTTTTAGAGACAGGGCCTCACCATGTATTGCCTAGAAATCACCTGTTTCCACTTCCCAATCCTGGAATAAGTAGATGCTGCCACCCTTTCTTCTTTCTTTCTTTCTTTCCTTCCTTCCTTCCTTCCTTCCTTCCTTCCTTCCCTCCCTCCTTCCCTCTCTCCCTCCCTTCTTTCTTCCTTCCTTCCTTTCTTTGTTTTAAACATGAGTCCTAAACTCAGTCCTCTTGCTCACAAGGCAAATGCTTTACTGTCTCCCCAGCCCTCTTTATTAAACAAACAAACTCTAAACTTAAACACGGTGCCAAAACAATGTTGCTCCCCTCTCTCTTAGGGGACAGATGTTTTTCAAAAAGACTTTCAGATTGCAGAGAGCTAATGTACGAGTGGGGTCAGCGTGCTGCTGGAGACCAAACCCTGGAGACTACACAGGCCCCACACTTCCTGTTCCTAGCCAGAGCCTCAGCAGTCCTCGGGAGAAGTCATGTCATGGGTGCGATGAGCTCAGAGCTGAACGAGCCTGCAGAGGCTCCCAGCTCAGTGAGCAGTCAGTCCTCACAGTGGGCTTAGCGCTTACGCCAGGACCTCTCCCCTTCATATTCACTTCCCTCGGGCCGTTACACACAGCTGCACCTGCTGCACGGGTGATAATGTGACTAGAGTCTGTCACCGTCATTGTCTGTGTGGCATCCCCTTCGTTAACTCTGGGGCTGTGTTCTCAGTTTGCATATTATACCCCAGGACTTTATCCTGGCTGTGTCTAGCATTGTGTCCAGCCCTAATAAATACTCATCACATAAGTAAAGCCATGGGTCCCCCCCCCCCTGAGCTGTTTGATCTCTTCTGCTCCTGGACACTCATCTTCTGTCTGTGCTCTCCCTGAAGACAATAGTTTGCTCATTTCTGAAATCTTGGCACATGGTAAGGGTCCAGTTAGCAGGTGGTATGACCTCTTCCGAAGCCATGCACTGAGCCCCAGGGTCCACTGGCTCTGATCCTCTTTCTGCCGTTAACTTAGACAGCTTCATCCTGTGAGGGGGGCACAATGGAGCACAATGCTGTGTCAGTGCCCTGTTCTGACAATCTAATGACACCATTGCTAGAGAAACAAAGAGAAAGGAGAGCAAGCTATAGCACTGAGGGTTGACAAGCTCTGTGGACATGGCATTGCTTTCCGGTTTCTGTACGTCCCAAAGTCTTGGGGCCTGGGTATGACAGGCACTTAGTGATCGCTCTAGAATGAGCAGATGATTGGTTATTTCATGCTATGCAGCCTTGGCAAGCTAACCTTTACAGGGCCTCAGTTTCCCTGTGCGAGGAATGAAGAGGGAACAGGGACTGTATCACTATTTCCTGGTGTGGTAAGGCTAGAGGACGTCACCAGTCCTTAAAGATGCTGGGAATTTGTGGGCCCTCTTAGAAGAAGGGCATCCTGGGCCGTGGGTGACTTCCTCGGTGTCTACAAACTCACGACGGCTTTCTTGGACAGGCAAGGATCTCTGCGTGTTCTTTTGGCTGTCTGCGCTGCTCTGTGCCATTCCCTCAAGCCACTCCCGTCCCCAAATGGAGCGTTTCACTAAGGTTTCTGCAAGGCTCCTTTTCCTCCAGCCTGAGACGAGCCGGGGAAGGCTGGGGGCGGGGCAAGTCTATTAATATCCCTTTCTCAGCTGATTAACTCTCCATTAATTTTCACTCCGTTTCTAAGCCGAGCAGGGGGAGCAAGCTAATGGGCCCAGGCAGGATGAGGTGGCCAGCTCCAGTGATATCGAAAGGCGCCAATAGGGCAGCCAGGAGGCCTGGAAGGAGCCACAGCAGTGTAGGGAGATGGCCCTTCTCCTAACCCCACCCAGCCGTTCCAGAGCTAGGCAGCTCAGGGAGAGGGGTTGGGAACAGGTCTTTTGTTAGTGTCTGTGGCTTATATCCATCCTCGTCATGGTCTCTGCCATTTTGCGCTCCTCTCCACCCCATGCTTGTGCTCGGTAAGTTAGGATTCTTGCATCTGTGGCCCTGCCTTGGCTTGCTATGTGACTTTGGCAGGTCTTTGTTCTGGGGCTTCAGCCCACCTGTGGAAAGAAAGAATGGCAGGCAGGCTTCCCAAGGAGCCCTAGTTGTAACTGGTTGAAGTTGTTGCCTAGAGCCCGCCTGTGTCACCAGGGCTCTGGCATGAAGTCATCCATGCAGCAGATGAGCTAGAACACGCATACCGCTTGTCTGACGCCCCTGGCCGCTGGAAAGCCCTTACATTCTGTTATGTGCGATAATTTATGGCACCCTGGGAATTCTCATTCCTCCCAGTACTGATGACGTCATTCCGAGTGACTTCTCTAGAACCCGAGAAACTGAAGTCAGACAGTCTCCCTCTTGCTCCACATCTGTTTTTCTTGCTCAGCAGTTTTGCTGCTTCTCAGACCCCAGGCTTGGAACTAGGAGAGGCCCTGGGGTTATGTCTCCCCTTGTGCAGGTTCAGGGCCACCCTGGTGGTAGAGCTCCGTGTGGTCATCCCCCAAATATCACTGGGTCCAAGTCCCAGGTTCTTAATTCTCCATCGAGCTAGCAAGTGTTCTGGAAATAGAGCTTTGGGAAGTCTTGCCTGAGGATTGGGGGAGTCTTTCAGGTGGGGGCCAGTCACTTGAATCCTCATAGCTTCCTAGGTCCAGAGTCCACAGAGCCCTGGTTCAGGTGCACTAACAACTTCTTTTGACTTTTACTTATTTATTTTTTTATTCTTAGCTCTGTTCTAAAAATTACAGACACGTTTATTCTCCTCTCCCCGAGGCCCCGTTTGAGTTACTCAGCTGCTGCCCTGAGTGTAAGGTTATAGTCTAAACAGATTCAGTGCAGCCAAAAGGCCACCACGAGATGTGTATTTCAGATGAACTTCCTGAAGAAAAGATAAACAGCTAGGCCCGGGATGGGAAAGCGTGCCTCAGAAGGGAGCATGTGACGACATGTGCCTCTGCCAGCACAGACCCAGGAATCAAGGTTTCTGACTACTTGGCCTAATCTAGAAGCAGTGTGGTCTGTGGCCTTAGCCTCAAGCTTGGGACCCAGGCGAGGCACCGCAGGGGTAGGAGAGGGCAGGGAAGGTGGGGTTCTGGTCCATCTGTGCACCAGTTTTCTCTGCAAAATGGAGATTAGAATCATGCTCCCCTCAAAAGGGTGTTGTGTGAGCTCCTAGATGCTACCAACAGAGCTTTCCAGTCCCTGTCAAGCCTAGGCCATTACCCTAGGTCTCCCCTTAGCCTGAGTCTTGTTTTCTCAGCCTTTTGCTTTAAGTGTCGACTGTTCAGAGAAAGTTCCTGGCCGCTCTAGGCAGCCTGCAATCTCCTTGGGTTTTCTGTTGTTGTTGTTGTTGTTGTTGTTGCTTGTTTTGTTTGTTTGTTAGTTTGTTTAGCTATCCCAGCATCCCCTGGCTTCCTCCAGCCCCTCTCCAGCTCTGAAATGTACTCCCTTGTTCTCCTGTCCAGCTCCACTCAGCAGCAAAAGCCAGACTCTAGGAGGGCAGGGGTGTGGCGTTCTGGGTGTGCTGGATGCAGCGCAGCGTGTGATGGGAAGGGAAGGAAGGGCGTGAGGTGGGGGCTGACTCCCGTGGCCGTCACTGGAATGGTGGCTGTGTGGAATATTTGTTGAAGATGCGTTACGTTCATTTATGCTGTGGAATGTTTGTTTAATGATTCAAGGATGGGTTGCATTCTTTTTGTCTGGTTTTGTTTTTGTTCAAGACGGGGGTTTCTCTGTGTCACAGCCCTAGCTGTCCTGGCACTCGCTCTGTAGACCAGGCTGACTTCAAACTCACAGAGATCCGTCTGTCTCTGCCTCCCAAAGTGCTGCGATAAAAGGCATGCCCCACCACTGCTCAGATCTGTTGCATTCGTTAATGTTGCATTTGTTTATCTCTGTGAAGCTGTGTTGCTTTGCCTGTCTAAAACACCTGATTGGGCTAATAAAGACCTGAGTGGCAAATAGCTAGGCAGGAGAGATAAATAGGTGGGACTACCAGGCAGAGAGAATAAATAGAGGAACAAGAGAGAGGAGCTAGGAAAGGAGAAGGCGAGGACACCAGGAGCCAACCACTAAGCCACACTGCCAGCTACAGAGTAAGAAGGGGAAAAGGGAATAGAGAATAGAGAAAGGTATAAGCCTGGAGGCAAAAGGTAGACAGAATAATTTAAGTTTAAGCTTAAAAAAGAGCTGGCTAGAAAAAAAGCCAAGCTTAGGCTGTGCAGTGGTGGCGCACGCCTTTAATCCCAGCACTCGGGAGGCAGAGGCAGACAGAGCTCTGTGAGTTTGAGGCCAGCCTGGTCTGCAAGAGCGAGTTTCAGGACAGGCACCAAAGCTACACAGAGAAAACCTATTCTCTAAAAACAAAAACAAAATAAGCCAAGCTAAGGCCAGGCATTCATAAGAAAACCAACAATAGGTGGTGATATAGTTAGCAGGTATAGCATAGCAAGGTAAGTGCTTGCTTTGTGTTAGGCACGGCATCTAAGCACCTTACCTGTAACCACCCCCCACCAGCCCCTCTTTACCCCCCCCCACTCCTCCATAAGAACTCCTCGGAGTGAGTCCTGTCTGGTATCTATGTGGCAGGTGAGGACTAACTTGCCCAAGAACCCACAGTTGGTAAGTGTGGTCTCTGTGAATGAGTCAGCAGCTTCAAAACCCAGCACCCAGGTCTCTCCCTGAGCGAGCCAAGAGAACAAACCCCAGGACCCCATTGAAAGCCCAAGCAGGCTTCCAATGCTGTAGTTATGACATCCACAGTTGAGCTCTGGGGTATCCAGTCTCCACCCAGTCTGGACCTCGAGGGTCAAGGGGCTGAGACCCTGCTGCCAATGAAGGAGGGGACCCGAGTCTCTGACAGAAGAGGCAGGTATTTTCAGGTAGGCTGCCTTCTGCCCAGGTCACAGCTCAATGAGCAGCAGAGCCAGGACTGAGACTCCAGGCAAGGCCCTTCCCATAGCCTGCTTATTGAAGTCTGTGGTTCTCGGAGTTGACAACCTCTTTACTGAGTTTGTGATGTTCCAGGAATATGGAACAGATTTGTCAGGTTAAGGGGTGGGGTGGGGTGGCAAGAAGGCAGTGGTGGTTTATCGGGGTACACAGAACAGTTGGGTCTCCCACAGCCGCTAACCCTGTCCTCTCCCCTACCCCCCCCCCCGCCCGGTTGTCTCTTCCATCCAGATTGATAGTGAGAATGAAGCTCTCTTGGCTGCGCTTACTAAGACCCTGGATGACATCCCCGAAGACGATGTGGGGCTGGCTGCCTTCCCGGGGCTGGATGAAGGAGACACACCATCCTGTGACCCAGCTTCACCTGCCCCCTTATCTGCGCCCCCCAGCCCCGCCCTGGAGAGGCTTCTGTCCCCAGTGTCTGAAGTGGATGAGCTTTCTATGGTGAGGACTGTGACCTCGGGCTGCTGTCAGGTTGTCGCACGGTGAGGGTTGCGCTGTCAGTTTCAGCTCAGTCAGGGTCCCTGAGCGCCAGCACATGGCTTCTGTGGAGAGCCTGGAGCGCGAGGTCTCGCTGGGCCTTCACCCTTCCTGCCTGGACAGTGGCGTTAGGCTTGGTTCTATTTCTGTTTTATACCTTAAAATTACACGCAAACTTTTTCATGGCGATAGCACACAGAGGAGAAAAACCCAGGCAGGAAACAGAAACGTGGACAGTTAAAAGCAAAACCTTCCTAGTCCTCTCACAATTGCCTTCCCCAGAGGTAACCATGGTTACTGATCTGTTACATGACTTTCCTCTTCACCTTTTTTTTTTTTTTCTCCAAACTACAAAACCAGCAGAGCCTACGTTATAAAATGCTCTGCACCTTTCTCCCTCGGAGCAGTGTGTCCTGGAAAGCCTTCAGATGAGGGTGTGGAACTTTGCCTCCTCCTGGGTGGCTGTGTGGTACTTCCAGGTAAGGATGTGCCATCATGTAACCGTTCCCCTGCTGACCGATGGACATCCGTTGTCGACCGCGCCATTGCCGCTCTCAGTACTGCAGGTCTTGGTTGCCCCGTGTGAGTCCGTAAATTCTAGAAATGCAAATACCGGCTCATTATGCTTTAAAGAGATTGTGCCAGTTTTCACACCAACAAGTGTAAATTAAATGCTTCCCGTATGAGTGTGTAGAGTGTATATGGAAATGCGGGAGTAGAGACCAGCGCTGACTGGTCTTGCAAGGGTCTGGACCTCCCAACTTACTGAGGACACTTACCCTGGACTCTTGGCTCAGGCTGCCAAAGCCCGGGCAGGTAATTGGCTTTGTATGAATGCGGGGCTTCCTTCCACTCTCTGTAACTGCAACTTCTAGTGTTGCTGAGACTCACCTGGAGATCTAGAACCTGTCAGAGCTGGGAGGGCTCTCAGATCCTGAGCATAGAGTTCTGCTCTGGGGAAAGTAAGGCCTGGGGGAGGAGTCTCATGGCAAGTTGGTATGCCAACCAAGTTAGACCCCGCATGTACTGACTTGTGCACTAGGGTGCTGTGCCTTCTCTTCTGCAGCCTTTGGGACCCAGGGCACTAGTGGTGGTGGTGTGTGTGTGTGTGGGGGGTATTTACCAAGTGTCTGCTATGGTCCAGCACATACTGTGTTCCATCTCCCATTATGGCTCCCTCTTGTGGGGTCCCGCAGCCTTCCAGCCTGAAAGAGACCGCTTCGATTTGAATTTCAGCCTTCCAATGAGAGCTTGTGGGTCCTTAGGCACACACCCTGTCAATGACTCAGCTTTCTGATCCCTGGAAGTAGATAATAGGGCCCAGGTCAAAGGCTGGCGGGAGAATTACAATGGGTAATGCCTGGGCAGCATTTAGAATAGTGCCTAACGTATAGGCCCACCTAAGACACACTTGGCTGACTCAGAGCCTGACTAGGCCATTAGTAGGAAGAATTCTCAGTGTTATTTCTGTACCAGGCCACTGCAGGAAACCTTGTGAAGGGAGAGAGCAACCCCTGCTGGTCACAGGTTGTCCTAGTCCTGAGCCTTCCATTCTGCCTGCATCGCATGCTGGTTGCCCGACTGATTCTGTTTCCCCACACTGGGTTAGGCTTAAGGAAAGCAGACTAAATGTCAAGACTTCTAGTATAATGATAGTTCTGGAGGGGCCCAGAGAAATCACACAGACCCTAGGCCTTGCCTTGAATTCCAGAGAACTAGCTTGTGTGGACTTGGGCGACTAGTGAGCTTCTCTTATAGATCCTCATATCATGAGGTCGGCATGTCTCTCAGGGTCAGCGGTTGGACTCTCAGAGGTGTTTTTAAAAAGTGTCAGATCCTGTGGTTTTGGGTGTGCCCCCCCCGCACCGCCCCTTGTATCAGGGCAGAGAAGAAAAAAGTTGCTCAGGGTGTTGCCTGCAATGGGGCTGAAGTGACTAGAACCAGATCTTGTCCCTCTAGCAGGGGTGCAGAGTGGTGCATGCATGCATGTGTGCATATGCGCGTGGTGTTTGCAGTCTAGGTAAGGTGTCAGTAATCTCTAGCTACTTGGAGTTCAGAATGTGGCCTTTCTCTAACTCTTGGGTCTTTGGGGCTCTCTGCTGGGGTGCTGGGAAGGCATGCTCCCTAGGAGACACCTGGTGCTATCGTACAAGACACTTCTCGCCTTGTTCTCACCCGTGGTTATGGTGGAGGAGCTGGAATTTCCTTCAGCCTCTGCACTCTTGAGGTGGATGAACTGTGCCCCTGCCAGCAAGAGAGCTTCAACAGTCTTTATTTCAAACGCTGTCTGAGGCCTAGAGGGTAGTTCAGTAGGTGGGGTGCTTGCCTGGCACATAGGAAGCCCATAAAACTGGGTGTGATGGTTTATGCATGCCTGAAATCTCAGCCCGTAGAAGGTAGAGGCAGGAAGCTCACAAGTTCAAGTCACCCTTGACTATAAAATCTGAGGCCAGCCAGGGATACACGTGACCCTGTGCAAACTAAACCTTAATCTTATGATTTTGCTAAAAAAGACTCGGGAGTCAGGTGCCGAGTTGAAAACCTGCTGGTTCAGAGAGGCCAGGAGCTGATCTTCCTCCTTAGCTGACATCCCAGAAAGAGAACTTCTCTTTTGCCGTCCCACACCAAAAAGGCCGCCAAGCTCAGTCTCTCCCTACTACTCTCTGTGCATTTCTCTGTTCATTTTCCTGACTCCCTCTTGCTCTCTATGGCCACTTCCTGGCAACTAGTTGCTGGCTCCGGCTCTTGACCCAAGGTTGATTTTACTTAATTAGTGTAATCTCAGGGTTTACAGTGTGCTCAGGTATCCCAACAACACTGCCCCCTGCATACATGCAGATGAAAAAAATAGGTGAAGAAAGGACAAACTAAAATTTAGCATTCTTTTACTTGTATGGAAACAGTTGAGTGTGTTGGAGGTAACATGCACCGTGTGTGTGTGTGTGTGTGTGTGTGTGTGTGTGTGTATGTGTGTGTATGTGTATTCTTGTATGATTAAAAGCCCACCTCATGAAGGTTCACAAGAGAGGAATGGAAGTTGCCTCTAGGTCAGAGAAAGGACCTTGAGAAGGAAGGAGATTTGCTTTTAATTGTCTACCTTTTAGTATTTCACATACACACACACACACACACACACACTCACACCATTTATAAGTACTGTGTATTTAGTTGAAGAAATAAATTTTTAAATGTCATGGACAGAGGAGAATCCTATATTGAGCATCGTTTTGGTCTCTAACCTCTCCATCTGCATGTCTATGTATGCATACATGTGTGTCTATTACGGGCACGTGGAATGAACTGACATTGTCCTCACAGTGAAATGAGCAGGCAGCACCCAGACCTGCTCTCCTGGGCCACTGACTTTGCTCTCTGTGGAGTAATGGTGTTTGGGAGTTTGGTAGACATCAATTTGTTTTCTGCATTACCTAGTCTCCTTGGGGCCTCTGGCCCTGGCCTGGGCATAGTCAGCTGACATGTGGTGCCCTGTGTCTCTGAGTGTGCTTGGCCCTAGTCTCTCCCCCTCTTCCCCTCTTCCCAGCTGCAGAAGCTCCTCCTGACCACATCCTCCCCAACAGCAAGCTCTGATGCTCTGAAGGAGGAGGCCACCTGGTCCCAGGCCAGCCTCAGGTCCAGAAGCCAGCGGCCTTGTGTCAAGGTATTTCTGCCTATGCTCAGAGATGACCTGGGCCCCCAGGTGGCTGTCAGCCATGGCTAGGAGTGGCAGATTCAGTCTACCTCAGTTTCTCCCTCTGTCCTCACACAGCCCTGACTGGGTCCTACTCCTTGGAAACAGCATAGTTAGAGGTTCTGGAAAGGACCCTGTGCTTTCCTACACTCGAATGTTTTGGCCTGTGAGGTTTGACACAGATCTTGGCACGCATTAGAGCAGGGGACAGATGGGAACAGGATCATCACTGGCTGTAGAGGTCGTTGTCCGTTTCATACTGAGTTTTCGGATTTCTTTTCTGAGGAGCTGCAGGCCACTTTAAAACCTGGCAAACCAAAGGTGACACCCATACCTGTCCTCACCCTATTTTTTGGGGGGGAAGGATCTGCAGAGGCTCCAACACTGGGAGCCCTGTAGAAATCTAGCGGCCACTTTCTTCCTCAGCAGTTCAGTTTGCCAGGTACCAGCCCTGCTGGAGGCTGGGGGTGAAGTGAAGGAACAGGCCATTCCCACGGTCCTGGGAAAAGATGCTGGGTCTGCTGGCTTCCAGAACAGGCAGAGGGAGAAGCATTGTGCCCCTCCCTGCTCACCGTGGCGTATTTCCTTCTCCAGGCGGATGGCATCCAGGACAAGAAGATCCCCATGCCGCGGTCTCAGAGTCGGCCTTGCACAGAACTGCATAAGCACCTCACCTCGGTGCTGCCCTGCCCCAAAGTGAAAACCCCAACCCCACGCCCAAGTACTCAGCTCCTCTCCAAGGAGGATGAGGAGGTGGGGGAGGATTGCCCGAGCCCCTGGCCAGCTCCAACCTCTCCACAAGACTCCCTAGCACAGGACAGAGCTAGCCCCAGCTCTGCCCAGGCTCCCCAGGAGGATGTAAGGTCCATGGTACAACTCATTCGCTACATGCACACCTACTGCCTGCCCCAGAGGAAGCTGCCCCAATGGGCTCCAGAGCTGGTCCCCCAGCCCTGCAGCAGCCCGTCCAGGCAGGTCCCACCCCGGTCCCGGCATCCTCAAAAAGCCATCTGGACTGAGTTCTCTATCCTAAGAGAACTTCTGGCTCAAGATGTCCTCTGTGATGTCAGCAAGCCCTACCGCCTGGCCACGCCTGTCTATGCTTCCCTCACACCCCAGTCCAGGCCCAGGCCCCCCAAAGACAGTCAGGCCTCCCCTGCCCACTCTGCCATGGCAGAAGAGGTGAAAATCACAGCTTACCCTAAGAGCACTGGGCCTAGACCCAGCCTGCGCCCTCTGAGGCTGGAGGTGAAGCGGGATGTCAGTCAACCTACCAGGCAAAAGCAGGAGGAAGATGAGGAAGAAGAGGAAGAAGAGGAGGAGGAGGAAGAAAAAGAGGAGGAGGAAGAGGAGTGGGGCAGGAAGAGACCAGGCCGTGGCCTGCCATGGACCAAACTAGGGAGGAAACTGGACAGCTCTGTGTGCCCCGTGCGGCGTTCCAGGAGACTGAATCCAGAGCTGGGCCCCTGGCTAACATTCACTGATGAGCCCCTAGGTGCTCTGCCCTCGATGTGCCTGGCTACAGAGACCCACAACCTGGAGGAGGAACTGGGCAGCCTCACAGATGATAGTCAAGACCAGCAGCTCCCCCAGGGATCCCAGATCCCAGCCCTGGAAAGCCCCTGTGAGAGTGGGTGTGGGGACACAGATGAGGACCCAAGCTGCCCACGGCCCCCTTCCAGAGGTAGTCTGTGGTCCACAAGAAAGGGCGGGGTGGGCATAGCATCCCCACTGGGAGCTGGGATCTCTGCGTTCTAGCCGTCAGTTTTATGTGTTGGATGAGGGTTCTATCTTCTCTCCACTGCCCCTTCTATACAGTGGAGTGTTGGGCAGATCTGCTACACCTGCTCTTTGAGATTTTCATCATGCCTATCAAAGTACTGCCTAGTAAACAAAGAACAGGAGGCCTGCTTCCATGGGGTTAGGGGAGAAGGTCATTAAAATAGTAAACCGAGCTAGGCATGTTGACAAACACAGTACTTAGGCAGGGGCAGGAAGATACAGAGTTTGAAACCAGCCTGGGCTACATATGCAGATCTGTTCCAAATAAAAAGCAGAGACTGAGGACCTAGGCTCAGAGCTCTTTAGTGAAAGATCCCTCTCCAAAACCATCTAGAATCAGCTTGGGCCCTGGGGCCTCAGGCTCAGAATGCCTGGCCATTGTTTGGTCACCAGGGGTTGCCTCGCTCATCCCTTATTTCTGCAAAGAAAGGAGATCTACTGTCTGGGAGCCAGCAATGCAAGGTGTATTTGAATTGCACCTGACCATTCCCCTAGATGGCCAAGGCCATGTGTCATGTGAAAGGGCAGCTGTGCATGGTGCCCCTGGAAATGTGAGGACCCCCCCCCAGGGGAGAGTGTTCATGATGATGTATGTGGGGAGTCTTACCTCTTTTTCTTTCTTTCTTCTTTTCTTTTATGTCTTTTCAGACTCCCCCAGGTGCCTCATGCTGGCCTTGTCACAAAGGTAGATTTTTTTTAAAGAAATTATTGGTATATTATTCTGTGAGATTAAGATGTGTGTGTTTGGGTGGGAGGTCATCAGCCCCTGAGCCCTGCCCTGATCACCATCTCGAGCCCTCAAGATCCAGACTCCTTCCAAATGGAGCGTGTTTTAAAGAGGTAGCCTCCTCAAGTTGAGGGGAAAGATGGAGGGTCAACCCGCTTCCTAAGCTGTTGTCTCCAGGACTCTGAAAAGTCTTCTCTGGGGTGGGGGTACTGGAGGCTGCCAATGCTGTCAGATAGGAGCAAGTCCCTTCCCTTTCTGCGTCTCAGTTGCTCCATCTATAAAGCAAGGAATCTACACCAGTCTTTGCCTGTATTTCCCCCAAACTGCAACTTGAGTTTCTTTAACAGCCAGGATAGGGCCCCCCAGCAAGTTCCCTCTAGGCCCCTTCCCATGATAGAACCAGGGTCTATCACAAAGTCCTTTGCTCCCCCCAAAAGTCTGGGGCTTGACCAGTCTCTTCCCTTTCTGTCCCCTCTGCCTCTACCAGCGACCCTCTTGGCAAGAAGAGCTATGAGGAGTCCTTGACGGTGGAGCTTTGTGGCACGGCAGGTGAGCTAGGGGTTCAGCTGGTGGGGTGCCTGTGGGGAGCAGGCAAGGCCCTGGGCAGGAGCACTTTTGACCACTGCCTCATGAGCTACCCTAGCATTGAGATGTGTGGGGAGCATGCTGGGAGGAGGATTAAGGCCCAGGGCCAGAGCCCTTCACTGCTGGTACCAGCAGCTGAGGTGATGCTGAGGTCAGGAAACAAAGACACAGCTCTGGAGGAGACCATAGTCTGGTGAGGGTAACCGCTCAGGAGCACGGTTTGCCATGTGCTTGTTTCAAAGTATGAGCAGGAACTCTGCTGGCGTAAGAGGGCCAGTGTGGCCTGGTCAGACTGTGGTGTACCCAGCACAGGGGGCCACTGAAGGGTTGAAGGGCCAACAGGCATTGGGAAGACTAGCCAAAGAATTGGTGTAAGTGAAGGCGTGGTAGAAGAGAAGTACAGGGTATAGTTGTGGTCCCCTGGTCTAGCCAAAAGAAACAAGTGGGGATGAAGAAAGAGCATCCCCAAAGGACCAAAACATAGAGGTGTCTGATGCCTACCTTATAGGCTTTGGAAGAAAGGAGTCGGCATTTTAGCAAGCCCCTGGTGCACTGGGAGGAACGGATGACAGAGTCAGAGCCAGTAGCATCAGGGACACTGAGGATGTGGTTTTACCAGAGGCACCTGCCTGTTCTGTGTTGGGGTACTCCTGAGGCAGGGGTATTTACACAGTTAGCTGTAAGACAAGGACAGATATCTCTGACTGGACACATTAGCTGCCATTGCCAAGTCTCAAAGGGATGGCCGATGCCTCTCATCCTAAGAACGGGAGGACTCTAGGCCTGCATACAGGCTTAGGCAGCAGCGTGGTGACCAGTTAGAGACGCCTGCCATCTACCTGTAGGAATGTTGTAGCGGACAGCCACTTGTTTGCCCTCTCAGACGGAGCTCTTACTGTCCTCCGAGGCGACCTGCCATTCCCTCACCTGTCTCTCCTCTTGCCTGGGTAGGACTCACTCCACCCACCACACCTCCATATAAGCCCATGGAGGAGGACCCCTTCAAGCCGGACACCAAGCACAGCCCAGGCCAAGACACAGCTCCCAGCCTCCCCTCCCCTGAGGCTCTTCAGCTCCCAGCCACCCCAGGGGCCTCCCACAAGCTGCCCAAGAGGCACCCGGAGCGAAGTGAGCTCCTGTCCCACCTGCAGCATGCCACGGCCCAGCCGGTGTCCCAGGCTGGGCAGAAGCGCCCCTTCTCCTGCTCCTTTGGAGACCACGATTACTGCCAGGTGCTCAGGCCAGAGGCTGCCCTGCAGAGGAAGGTGCTGCGGTCCTGGGAGCCGGTTGGGGTCCATCTTGATGACTGGCCCCAGCAGGGTGCCTCCCTGCCGACTGAAACAAAGACCCCTAGGAGGGAGGCAGAACAGAGCTGTGACTCTACCCCTAAGGACAGCATGCAGCTGAGAGACCATGAGATCCGTGCCAGCCTCACAAAGCACTTTGGGCTGCTGGAGAGCGCTCTGGAGGAGGAAGACCTGGCTTCGTGTAAAAGTCCCGAGTACGACACCGTGTTTGAGGACGACAGCAGCACCAGTGGCGAGAGCAGCTTCCTGCTGGAGGAGGAAGAGGAGGAGGATGAAGGAGAGGACTCGGGAGTCAGCCCTCCCTGCTCTGACCACTGCCCCTACCAGAGCCCACCCAGTAAGGCCAGCCGGCAGCTCTGTTCCCGCAGCCGCTCCAGTTCTGGTTCCTCATCCTGTAGCTCCTGGTCACCAGCCACCCGGAAGAGCTTCAGGTATGCTTGGTGGCCCTGGGGAGAGGGGTATCTGAGCAGCCACAAGGTGCCAGAGGGGGAGAACCCTAGGAATTGGCTTTGAAACTGGGGTTGCATCTCCACGTGGGGCCGTAGCCCTAGTCAGAAGCCCATGAGATGGGCTTCACAAGAACCAGCCTGTCTGAACCAAGTCAAGGCTGGCAGGGTCTGTGGGAAAGGAAGAATTCTTACCGTCTGGCCACCTGCTGCTTTAGATCCTAATGAGCCTGAGCCTTGTTTTTTGTTTTGCATTCGTCAAGAGATAGTTGGGGTTTTTTTGTTTGTTTGTTTGTTTTTATGCAAACACACACACACACACACACACACACAGCCACATAGTTGAAAAGCAACTTGGTGTTAATGTGCTGAAGAAGGGTGGGTGTAATTTCAGCCTATGCTCTGAAAAACACCCCGGGTGAAAGCAGTGCTGAAGTTTCTCTCCAGCTTGGCCTTGCATTATTTGCTGCTGTGAGCCGACCCTTTAAAGACCCATGGGAGCCATGGAGCCTTAGGAGCCCTTTTGAGCATCCTGTCTTTGAGCCCTGGACCTGGAAAGGGTTTCTATTGCTGTGATAAAACACCATGACAAGCCAGGCGGTGGTGGGCGCACGCCTTTAATCCCAGCCCTTGGAAGGCAGAAGCAGGCAGATCTCTGTGAGTTCGAGGCCAACGTGGTCTACAAAGTGAGTTCCAGGATGGCCAGGGCTGTTATACAGAGGAATCTTGTCTCAAAAAAACAAAACAAACAAACAAACAAAACAAAACACGTCACAAGAAGCAACTTGGAGAGCGGTAAGGGTTTAGTTCACTTTCCAACTCTCAGGTCATACCCCAATCACCGAGGGGAATCAAGAATTCAAGGCAAGAACCTTGAATTTGGCAGATTTGAAGGAGAGCCGCTCCTGCTTGCTTTGATCACAGCAGGTAATGGGACCAGCTCTGTCTTTGGGAGGCTCTCAGCTCTGTGCTTGAGGTTGCCTGGATGGCCACTAGATGGTAGTCTTCAGCCTGGAGCAGAGCCGTGGAGTTGGTGGGGGTGGGGGTGGATTTGTTAAGATGTTGTTGCTGCTGCTGCGTCAGGGATATGCTGAGTATCTGAGTCTGTGGGTGTGGCTAATTTGCCTTCCTAACAAGCTTTCAAAGCCCTGTACTCTGAGGTCAGAGTTCAGACATAGATGCCTCTTTCTGGATTCAGCTTTATGTGCATACATCTCTACCAGCTACACTTAGCTCTTCGAGGACCCCAAGAAAGCTAAAGCCACTCTCCTCATCAAACTACGTTTTAGAGGGTTCATAAAGAACGCCCCGCAAACTGGTGTGAAGAAGCGTTGAGTTTAGGGTTAGCTACAGATGGCTTCCCCAAGGTTTCACTTACAAGCCGCCAGCACAGTGGTCTTGCAGAACCCTTCAAGGCTTGCTAGCAAGTTCTTTTATCCTTTCCTGGGAGTCTGCCGAGACGTTCCTTCACCCTGAAGGTTTGTTCCTAATGCCACCGAAGTTTCCCCAGTGTTGAACCCATCCACCAGGGCCAGCCCTAGAGTTCTTGAGCACTTCCTTTCCCACCTGGCCCATAGATTTGAACAGGGTCTGCACTCCAGAGCCCCAAAAGTTGAGACCAGACCTTCCTTGAGACTACAGATTCCCTGTTTCCTCTTCTCAGATGTATGCTTGGTGTAGGTCTAGCCATTTCTGTTCACTGAAGAGGGTGACTCAGTTTCCCCAGTTCCTGCTCAACTGCCCATAGAGCTATATATCTGAGAAGCCTGGAAAACCACCCCTCAGTCTTCCCTAAACCAACTTTCTTTCCCTTGGCTATCAAGAAGTGTGTGGAGGCTAGCTGAACAGTGCCAACTTAATCCCCTGACTCCCAGTCTTCATCTAGAAGGGAAGGCCCGCCAACTGTAATCTCAATGAATAATAATTCTTGACCGAAGAGCGCTTGAAAGCATTGCCTTCTGTTATCCTATTTAGTTAAGCATCTCAGAGGCAGTCAGAGGACACACATGTTTCTTATCCCCATTTTATAAATGAGGAAACCGAGGCCAGAGAAGATAAATTTAAAAAAATGAGCGGTACTAATCTAAGCATTTAAGTGAATTTTATTTACTGCTCACAAACGACCGAGGAGGAGGGCACAGTTGGGTTTATACCTATTTTTCAGATGAAGAAGTGAGTCAAGGGGCTGGAGAGATGGCTCAGAGGTTAAGAGCATTGCCTGCTCTTCCAAAGGTCCTGAGTTCAATTCCCAGCAACCACATGGTGGCTCACAACCATCTATAATGGGGTCTCCTCTTCTGGCATGCAGGCATACACACAGACAGAATATTGTATACATAATAAATAAATCAATAAATATGAAAAAAAAGATCTATTTTTAAAAAAAAAAAAGAAGTGAGTCAAGAGGATTTGTTGGCTGACCCAAGGTCACCCTCCGCAGGGAGGTAGTGGAACAGGGCTTAAGTTGTGTGCTTCAAATGCACACATCCCCTTATCCTCTATGCTGTATTTTTTAAAAAGACTCATGGGGAAGGGCAGGCCATGGGTGGAGCTGCCTCCCCATGAGGACAAGAGGAGATGGTGAGTTTTACAATGGACGAGCCTGTTCCAGAGCTGGAGTAGGAGCCATCAGAGGGCAGTGGCTCTAGAGTAGACCTGATGCCAGCTCTGGCTTCTCCCATTTCTAGTTTTGGGCAAGTCTAGCTGGACTTTGAACCTCACTCAGACTTTGTTTTGGAAAATGGAAATATAAAATAGAAATATAAGACTTGGGATTTTTTTTTTTCATCCAGTCAGTAAGGCAAGGAAGAGAAAGGCTTTCTATCCCTAACAGTAGAGAGAAAGGTGAGGCCCAGGACTCTCAGCCTGGGAGCCAGTGGAGGACGCCTGACCAGTGTTCAGTCCCACAGAGTCGGGCTGGGTTTCTGCAGGAGTGAGACTGAGTACTATATCTGGCTTGTTTACTGACAGACGTGAGAGCAGAGGTCCCTGTTCAGACGGAACTCCACGTGCCCGGCATGCCAGGAAGCGGCAGGAAAAGGCCATCGTAAGTAATCTGGGGGTCTCTGGGCCTAGAGCAGATGGGGGCAAGCCAGAGACATCAGGAAATGCTAAGCCCACCAGCCTTCCACCTCTGCCTAGGGAATAACGGACCGTAGCCTGCATGGAAGTCTTAACTAGGTATCTTATTTGAAAATAACAAGGGTAGGCAAAGCTGCTAACGTTAGCACCACGCAAAGCCAGCACTTGAGTGACCTTGGTATACAGTGGGTGGTCACTCCACTTAGCCTGAGGGACTCTGAAAGGATCAAACAGGTGAAGGTCAAGTAGAGATAGGCTGGGCAGACCAGGTCACAGACTGCACCTTTTGTGTGACCTTGGACAGTGGCCAGCTTCCTTGAGCCTCAGTTTATTCATCTGTACACAGGAGAGTTGGGTCCTTATGCTTCATATGGGGTCCCTCAACAGGCCGATTCCATCTTTCAACCACCTGGAGGATCCTTTTAGAGCCTGTCCCTAGATACCAGGGCTGCCCACAAAGCTGTACTGGGAGCCTGCCAGTTACATCATAGCCCTAGAAAGGAGGGAGAGAAGGTATAACAGAAACACAATAGGATAAACAGCCTCCCTGGTTGCCATGCTTCGGAAGGTGGGTGTGTGGGTGCACAGCCTGTGTAACAGGTACTTAAGATGACAGGTAAAGCCAGGCACTCAGGAGGCAGAGACAGGCAGATCTCTGAGTTCAAGGCCAGCGTGGTGTACAGAGCAAGTTCCAGGACAGCCAGGGCTGTTACACAGAGAAAACCCTGTCTCAAAACAAAGATAAAAACAACAAAACAAAACAAAAAACTACAGGTAAAGTCAAGCATGGTGACATATGCTTTTAATCCCAGCACTTGGGAGGTAGGGCTCTATCCACAGAGGCAGGTTGGTTTCTGTCAGTTTAAAACCAACTGGTTTGCTGGGTGGTGCTGGCACATACCTTTAATCCTAGCACTCGGGAGGCAGAGGCAGGCAGATCTCTGTGAGTTCGAGGCCAGCCTGGACTATAAGAGCTAGTTCCAGGACAGGCATCAAAGCTATAAAAAAAACCCTGTCTCAGAAAAAAAAAAAAAAACCAAAAACAAAAACCAAAAGAAAACCAACTAGTTTGTTGGGGTCAGAGTACACCAGAAGGGGAACTAATGAGACGACCATTAGGCCATAGGAGCCACCATTTTATCTTTTATCCTCTCTCTGACTCCAGCAATGTTGCTGTTCAGCCAGGCCTAAACAGAGACTCCATGAGAATAATAATGGGCTTCCTCTCCATCTTCCTCCTTGAGCAGGGCGAAGGCCGCGTGGTATACATTCGAAATCTCTCCAGCGACATGAGTTCTCGGGAACTAAAGAAGCGCTTTGAGGTGTTCGGCGAGATCGTAGAGTGCCAGGTGCTGAGGAGAAGTAAGAGGTGAGTTAGGAACAGCTGTTCCGAGTGGGAGAACACAGGGGGCTGGGAGGGATGGGTGGGTAAGAGGTGAGTTAGGACCAGCTGTTCCAAGTGGGAGCAGGCAGGGGCTGGGAGGGGTACAGGTGGGAGAAGGACCATGATGAATCCCGCTGACACGTGACCCAGTGCCAGCTCATTTCCATGCATTCTGTCATCTCAACATCTGGCACTACCAAAACCCAGCCATTCTGCTTTCCTTTCTGGAAGATCTCTGCCAAGTTAACAGGGAAGAGAGCTGAAGCCCCTGGGCATGTCAAGGCTTTTGTGTAGACAACCGTGCGGCCACAAAAATGCCCTTAGGCAGCTTGAAGATGCCCTTGTTTGACGACCTCACTGTGACACATCTCTACCTTACTCGACAGCCTCCCTTCCTCTGCAGCAAGTCCTGGGGCTGCAGTCTGCTAAGCAACCCTGGCTTGTCCTCATGTACATAGGGGAGCAGATGTTTATCTGTAAGGGAATCCACCAAAAACTAAGTTGTCTTAAAAAAAAAAAAAGTTCGCTATAGATGCCACTGATTGAAAAGTATTTCCAAATTATCTGCTATCATGCCTGCAAAGTAAGTTATTAAGGAGTTTTAAATCCCGATTTAACAATAATCATAGTAAAAAGTGTTAGCCAGAAAGTCTTCTCTTGTTTAATGGTCATTCCATACCTCGTCTCCATTTTGACGGCTACTGATATAGTTCGCTTTCCCTTGCTATGCTAAACACCGTGACCTAAAGGAAAGGGTTTATTTCTGCTTACTGCTTACTCTATCATGAAAGAAAGTGAGGACAGGAACTGAAGCAGAGGCCATGGATGAGTGCTTCTCATTATCCTTGTTCCCTGTGGCTTGTTCAGTTTTCTTATACAATCCCGGAGCACCAGCCCGAGTGGTACCACCCACAGTAGGATGAGTCCTCCCACATCAATCATCCATCAAGAAAATGCCCGACAGGTCAGTTTGATGGAGGTGGTTCCTTCATTGAGGTTCTCTCTTCCCACATGACTCTAGTCGACAGGAACGAACCAGCATACTACTATTAAAATTGAAATAAAGAAGAGCTGGAAAGGATGTGGGAAAAATGAAGCCCACGTGTCTTAATTCAGATTTCTACTGCTGTGAAGAGACACCATGACCACAGCAACTCTAATAAAGGAAAGCTGACTTACAGTTTCAGAGGTTTCATGGCAGGACATGGTAGCGTGCCAGCAGACATGGCGCTGTAGAAGTTGAGAGTTCTACGTCTGAATCTGCAGGCAGCAGGAAGAGCAACTGAGGCAACATGGTCTAGCTTGAGCCTCTGAGACCACAAAACCCACCCCAGTGACACACTTTCTTCAACAAAGCCACACCTCCCAATAGTGCCACTCCCTATGGGCCAAGCATTCAAACCCATGAGTCTATAGGGAGCCATACCCATTCAAATCACCACATTCCACTCCCAGGCCCCCATAGGCTTTTATCCATAACATAATGCAAAATGCATTTAGTCCTACTTCAAAAGTTCCCACAGTCTATCATAGTCTCAACAATATTTAAAAGTCCAAAGTTCAAAGTCTCTTCTGAGATTCATACAGTCTCTTAACTATAATCCCCTATTGAATGAAAAATTCAGAAAGGGGTCACTACTTCCAACATAGAGTGGCACAGGATATACATTACCATTCCAAAATGGAGGAAAGGGAGCATAGTAAGGAAATACTGTAAGTAAACAAGACCAAAACACAGCTGGGCAAACTCCAAACTCTGCATCTCCATGTCTGATGTAGAAGCACTCTTCAGACCTCCAACTCCAGTCAGCTTTGTTGACAACACACTTCTCTCTTGGCCTGGTTCCACTCCCTGTTAGCAGCTCTCTTTGGCAGGTATCCCATGGCTCTGGCATCTCTAACATCTTGGGGTCTCCAAGGCAATCCAGGCTTCATCTTCACAGTTTCAGCACCATGGCCTCTCTAGGCCTCCATGCAGGGACACCACCGACACACACCTGGCCTCGGGGTTTCCTTAGTCATGGAGGGAGAATCCATAACCCCTTTCTTCTGTCCTTGACTCTAAAGCCAGAACCGTATGGCTGAAGCTACCAAGTTCTGATGCTTGCTGGGGTTGGAACATTGCCTCCTCATTCAATTACATCTTCACTAGTTTTCTGTTTTTTGATGATTTCCTTCACTGCCTAAGCTTGGCTATTCTGGAATTTGCTCTGTAGATCAGGCTGGCCTCAAACTTAGAAATCTCCCAGCCTTTGCCGCCTTTTGAGTATTGGGCTTAAAGGTGTACAGCATCACACCTGGGCCTAAGGTGTTCTTTAATTCCTTTTTGCAAGTTGGAATCTTAGCTGGATGGAATCTTGCCCTGAGGTCACCACTCCCTGTATTCCATTTCTTAATCTGTTTATCTCCTTGGACACAGGATTTAGCTTCATTTCACTTTCTAGTATTCCTTTCTTCCTCAGATTGTACATTTTATATTTTTCCTTGCTCAACTTGCTTCTTCTCATTATAAATCTTTATAAGTGTTAACACTAGTAACCACACGACAGAGTCTAAACTAGGCTGTTTTGAGATTCCCTTTGCCAATGGAATTAATCCAAAACTCTTCACTTTAGCCTCAGGCAGCGTCTTCAGATAAGGGCAAAAACAGCCACATTCTTTGCCAAAATATCACAAGAATGATTTAGGCAACACACCAAAATTCTTCTCCTTTGAAACCTCTTGATCCAGGCCCCCATAGTTCAAATCACCCTCAGCACCACTGTCTTCCATGTTCCTAATGTTGGACTCTAGTGTTCAGCCCGAGAAGGAGTCGCCCCCAGAGACCACCTCATACACCACAGCTGATGCAAAAGCATGAGGATTTTCTTAATCCTGTCATGACAGGGTCCCTCAGCATTCGGGAAGCCGGGAGACCTCAAATAGCTGGTACAGTCTACTTTTAAAGGAGAAGGCCCCATAGAAACAAGAAGGGTTGTTCCTTGACCATTATGATTGGCTTATTCGAAAAGGGCTAATACCAATAATTGACTGGAGAACTATTGTCAGATCAGATGAGGTAAGAGGTCATTTTGACCCCGTTTCCCAGGGGACTGAGTCAAAACATACGGGTATGGGTAATTGTTCAGGAACTGAGTACGTGCATGTGTAGCTGTTAGGTCCTTGGTTCCCAGGGGAGGAGGGGAAGCACTGACGCACAGAGGCTGAGAGGGTTTGGAATTGTCAGAAATGGCTTCAGAATTGTCTTAAAGTCTTATACTACTAGGATGGGTTCATTAAGCAGCACTTAAAGCATTCCACTGCTTTCCTAATCCAAAGTCCCAAAACCATGATCAGGCCTAACCCAACAACACCTTAGTCTCTGGTACCAACTTTTGTCTTAGTTAGGGTTTCTATTGGTGTGAAGAGACACCATTACCATAGCAACTCTTAGAAAGTTGACATATAAGGAAGACATTTAATTAGGGATTGTTTGGCAGTGTACAGGCAGACGTGGTGCTGGAGAAGGAGCTGAGAGCCCTGCATCTTGATCCACAGTCAGTAGAAGAGAAAACTGTGTTATACTAGCCAGACTTGAGCGCATAGGACCTCAAACCCTACTTCCACAGCGACACACTTTCTCCAACAAGGCCATACCTTCTGACAGTGCCGCTCATTATGAATCAAGCTTTCCAATGCATAAGTCTATGGGGGTTACCCTGTTTAAACCACACCATGTAAGGTATTCGAGGAATATAAGGTGACATCACTAATACTGGAAAACATTATAACACTTTTTTAGAATAAGTGTAGAACTATTATGTGATCTAACAATTCTACGTATGGGTATATAGTAATATATTTAAAAGAATTGCAAACAGGATTGCAAAGAGATAGGACACCCATGTTCATAGCTTACAACAGCAGAGAGGTGAGAATAATTCAAATGAAGTATGTATGCATAATGGAGTATTATGCACTCCTAAGAAAGAAGCAAAACATGCTTCACATAGATGAATATGTGTGGATATCCATTAAGACAGTATGATAAGGGAATGGGCTAGTCAGAAGAAAACCAATGGTGCTATGCTTACACTTAAATACTTAACAGAAACAAAGCATGAAATGATTGTTGCTGGAGGTGCAGGGGTAAAATGGAAATACTACTTAATGGATTTTCTAGGTTTACTACTTAGAAGATGGACTATTTTCTGTAGATCACACCAGGTATGGCAGTACACACCTGCAGTCCCAGCCCTGGAAAGCTGGAAGGGTGAAGACTGAGAATTTGAGGACAGTGTGAATTACAGATCAAGTTCAAACCTAGCCTGGGCTATCCAGTAAGGTCTATCTCAGAAAAACAAAGCAAACGAAACGTTTTTCTAGAGACTCGATATACAACAATGTCTGTCTACTTAATAATATTCAACTGTCCAGTTAATTGTCCAGTTAAAATGGTAACTTTTATGTTATGAATTTTGGCCACATTTTTTAAGTCACTACACAAACAGAAGTTTGCAAAGTTTTATGCAGTTTTCATGATTTCGTGCAGACATAACACAGAAAAACAAAGTGATCTCCAAAGAAAAGCTCAGTTTGTTAGGATTATTCAAGTGTATAGACTCCTTCAGGGGAGTCTGGACAGATAAGTATTTTCAGACATTCATAGAGGCAGAAGGGTTCAAGTTTGGCCCTGAGGGAGCCAAGCGTCAGTACTGATGATTCCTATAGATGTTTGTTAGGACTCCCCTTGTTGGCCTACCCTGAGTCATAGGGGCTCAGGCAGTTTGGGTGTCAGAGGACCCTTGGCTGCTTGGTTGAGCTGAACTATCAGTGCATTGCTGGCTGGTGGTCTGCCTTGCCTTGAATCCTCCCTAGGCAGGCTTGCTTCTAGAGCTCTAAGCTCATGTCTTAGCAGCACCTGGGGAGCAGAAATCACTCCCGCTGTTCCAGCAGACATCTGGGATAGGCCTCTGGGATTTAGCTTTGGCTGTTAGGTTCATCCTTGAGCAAATTACTACATTCAGGAAAGTACTGTCCTGTGACTTGATGTTCTCTCTCTCTCTCTCTCTCTCTCTCTCTCTCTCTCTCTCTCTCTCGAGGTAGGGAGTGGTGACTGGACAGGCAAACTAACAGGTGCCATCAGTACCAGTTAAGATGGGTCAGAAACATCAACAGTATTAGATAAAGTGAAGGACAAGTTGGCAGTCAAGGAAACGAAGGCTAAAGCTGTCTTTAAAGGGACTAGAATAGTGATTCTCAACCTGTGGGTCACAACCCCTTTGGGGGGTCAATGACCTTTTCACAGGGGTCACATATCAAATATCCTGCACATCAGATATTTGCATTATGATTCATAACAGTATCAAAATTATAGTTATGAAGTTGCAATGAAAAGAGTTTTATGGTCACATAAATAATTTTAGGGCCACGACATGAGGACCTGTATTAAAGGATCGCAGCATTAGGAAAGTTGAGACCCACATCTAGAGGATGGCAGAGTGGAATGGATGGGGAGGAGGCATAGCAGAAGCAGAGGAGTGATGAGGGGGATTGGGGAGTGTTAAGAGCATCAGCCTCATGATCAAGAGATTTGTGAGAGTCCCTGCTGAGCTACATGCCATTGGGTGGAACCCTGAACTTCACGGGCCCTGTTTTCCCTGGGGGAGGAAGTCATGGCAACACCCCTTCACACAGTCATCTGAATATGTGACAATACACGGTGTCCAGCAACATTCAGCGGTCCCACTGATCCTGTTGTCATCACATTGCAGAGGCTGGCCTGTCAAATGTCATTGTCCCTCATCGGTGAGAAGGCATGCAGCATGGTTTTCCACTCCTCATCCTATGATGTGTGCTCTTTTGATGTCCACCAGACTGGCCTAGAAACACCCTCTCTTATCCTATCCTCTTCTTCCAGAGGTGAGAAGCACGGCGTCATCACCTTCCGGTGTTCGGAGCATGCTGCCCTGTCCCTGAGGAACGGCGCAACCCTGAGGAAGCGCAATGAGCCCTCCTTCCACCTGAGCTATGGAGGGCTCCGGCACTTCCGCTGGCCCAGATACACTGACTACGGTAAGAGAGCAAATCCTAACTGTATTCTAACGAGTCCCAGAACATGAGGCACAATGCCTTCCTTTAATGACACCTAGACTGAAGACCCCTCTGGACATGGCCCTAAGTCAAGCTCCTGCTCGCTGTTACTCTGCAGTCCCTTTGCCTGTGGCTGCCATGTTGCTCTTGTTCTGGCCTCTGGTCCTGTGAGTGACTCTAACCACACAGTCACCTTCCTGCTCTTACAGGAAGGTGCAGTCGGTGCCCTCAGCCGCTCAGCAGCACCATGGCTGTCCTACTTTTTTACATTCACTCCGTGATGACCCTTGAACAGGCAGCAGCTTTGCCATTAATAGGTGACAGTGTTCCTGCACCGTCATCATGCCCTTGCTGTTTGTGTCCAAGTTGGTCAAATCCCAAGAAACACGACCTGTAGAGGAGAGCCCATGGTAGCCTTCAAGGTACAGCGTTGAGTATCAGGAGAGCTAGGTGGGTCCCAGGTCAGGCGACACTCCACCTGACTACAGTCCATTATGAGACTGTTGCCCGTCTGCATGAGATAGGTTTATTAGCATTCTTCTGTGACTGACTAGCAACACTGTATCGTGTTACTAATCCGTTACTAGTTGGTGGGAAGGAGTAGTAACAGTGTTGCTAGCTGGGACTGAGAACTCACAGTATTACTAGTTGGTGGAGGGTGTTGACGTAAGTCCATTTCTAAGAAGTTGGCTGGAAACGAGTTGTAGGGTGTTCTGTTCAGGGACCCATTGCTCTACTGCAGGGCTACTCTTGAGATCTTGTCAACATGGTAGAAAGGTCACAGCGGGATGACAGTTGATACCATGGTAGTACCCATTCCTGCACTGTGACACCCTGGCCATCCCAGCTCTGTGAGGCCCGCCCTCAGTGGCAGGTTTGCTGGTTGGGACTGAGTTTCTCACCGACCTTACCTCTCACCGACCCACAGATCCCACATCAGAAGAGGTCCTTCCCTCATCTGGGAAAAGCAAGTATGAAGCCATGGATTTTGACAGCTTACTGAAAGAGGCCCAGCAGAGCCTGCATTGATATCAGCCTTAACCTTCGAGGAATACCTCAATACCTCAGACAAGGCCCTTCCAATATGTTTACGTTTTCAAAGAAATAAGTATATGAGAAGGAGAGCGAGCCAATGCGCGAGCGTGAGAGAACACACGTGAGAGAGAGAGAGAGAGACTTGAATCTGCTGTTGTTTCCTTTTAAAAACAAATCAATGTTTACATTGAACAAAGCTGCTTCCGTCCGTGAGTTTCCATGGCGTTGATGTTCCACTGCCACATTAGTGCCCTCGCTTCCAGCGGATCGTCCTGGGTGCACCTCCAAGTGCTGTCAATCATCCTCTGCCCCTCCCGCCCGACTGACTTCCTTCTGTAGACTTGAGCTATGTTCCCCATAACATCTTCTGTCTGTAGTGTGTGATGATGAAATTGTTACTCGTGAGTAGAATCAGGATTAGAAACTCATTTTTAATTGAAGAAAAAAAAAGTATATCCTTAAAGCAAATGTATTTATGGCTCAGATATACTGTGCCTAGGGTTATCGTATTGCTTCCTCGATTGTTTAACTATGCACTGTCATGAGGTGTTTGCTACTGAGCTGCGCTGCTCCCCTGGTCATGTAGTCCTAGAGGTGCTGGGTGGCCACTACATCCCCCAGGAAAAATTGGCTTGCAGTCACAAGTAGGAAGAGTGGAGAGAGGTATCCAGGTATGCTCTACCAAGCCCTGGTTGGTATCTTTTATTTTGAGTGAGTTCCACTCAAGTTGTGATGAGAATCCCTTTCCCCTGTCCGACTCACACTTGGAGAGTGTCTGTCTGGAGAGCTCAGAGCCGTGAGTGCCTGTAGGGAAGGTGGAACAAGCTGTGTTAGACCCATTCCACAGGGAGAGAGGACAGCGCCCTGTGAGGGGAAGTATCTTGCCCAGGGTCCCATGGCCAGAGAACATACAGAGCAGTGTCCCACACCAAGCCTCCTGACTCCCAGGCTCCAGCCTCCTGCAGCAGTCAGCATAAAGATGCAAGAGCCAGAGGTTGGAAGAGTGGAGTTAGCTGAGGTGAGCAGCCTAGCAGCTTGTTGGAGAATTAGGTCAACAGTTGACTCACCAGCATTAAGGCAAATCCAAGGTCCATTCAACACAGCGTTGGTCCTCTGTGTCCTGCGACTTGCACTGCCTGTGGATACCCCTCAAGGCTTTGAGACACCTACAAGTGGTACACAGACTTCACCTAGGAGCAGTCATTTGGGGCAGGGAGGGCAACTGGTAGACCATCCCCTATCCTGCTGCTGCCCTTACTGTCCCTCCTCTGTAAAGGTACAGAGTGGGGGGTGGGCAAGGCACTCCCATGGGGCGTTCATGGTGGGCTCCTCTTCAAACTGTTATGACTACTGTCAAAGTCATATCCTAGGGGCCCTTCATGAGGGAGAAGCAGCTAGGCAGAGTATCCATTCTAATGCTTCATTATATATAGATCAATTCCTCCTTGGTCTTGTGACATTTCTTTCTTTCATTCTCCCTCTCCCCCAATGATCTGCCAAATAAGAAAGTTTGAAGGTAGATAACTCATCAAATTCACCAAACTAAATTAATCTGCTGCTAATGCCAGGCTTATTCCTTTGAGAATTTGTGGTTGATTTTTTTTTTTTTTTTTTTTTTTTTTAGATTTTCAAATACCTCAGTAAAGAAAGTGAACCCTGATCTTAATACTTGGTGTTGGGAAAATTCTCCACCCATTGATAAGGCTGGAAGAGACTAGCTTTAGCAGAAATAGGAAAACAGGATCTGGGTGTCAAATCTGTTGGCCTCCCTAAACCCCAGTTTCCTTTTCTGTGAAATAGACTGAGGGGTACAATTGGACAGCAGATGTCCTAGCTTCGGCTTCAACAGTGTCTAGTCACAGTCGTGATTCCCATATCCTTGGTCAATGCAGACATACTTAATTGATCGTAACACTAATTTTTTTTTTTTTTTAGCCTGGTTGTGCAATTAGAATCTTCAACAGTGTTCTCTCTGGTCAGGCATTACTAATTGGTTGATGTTTCATTTGTCTGACATCCTGATGTAGTGGTAGTCTTTGGAAAACTACCATTGTAGAGCCATATGCTGGCTGGTTTTTATGCTGACCCATCCTTGTCATGACTTGATCCCTGAGAGGAGATATGCCCTTGAAGCCATTGCTTGGCAGAAGACTTCCCAATACTGTTGTAAAACACAAGAGTATAGAGAGGGGAAGGTGAAATAGCAAACAGGAATCTAATTGGTGGCTCCTAAGGATAGATACAAAAAGGGAGCAGCTTGAGCGGTGGCTCAGCTCAGCGGCTAAGAGCGCCTAACGCCCTTGTGCCAGGGGACCTGGGTTCGAGTTCCTTTGGCGCTAATAGCAATCAATTCATCAATAGATCAAAACAGGACTTTTCACAGCACAGGCCCAAACATTCTTTATAGCTGTGCATTGCCCAGCATATGGTGGGCACGTGGAAAATGGGTATAGAATGGTTACTGAGGTAAAAGAACAAATTCTTAGCAAACAGTTAAGTCTCTCTTTCCCCAGCCAGGGTTAACTGAGCTGCTCAGTCTGTTCCCTCAAAGTCACTTAGATGTCGGCTCTAGAGCAGAGCAGAGCCTTGAACCTGGCACTGATGCCCGATATACCACAGGTCAATGCTGGGAGCTAGTTTCTAGTATTCTCCACTCACCCTCTCATAAACACAGGCTCCCAGCTCTGCAAATGACCAGCCCTGTAGATGATCTCTCTCTGGAAGATTCACTCGGTGCTGCATATAATTTACCAAGGAGATGGTCAGGCCCCCTCCGAGACCACGAGACCATCTTGATCGCTTTTCCATCGAATCAAGGAGGAACCCAGAGGGAGCAGCTGCTACTTACTGGCAACCATCTCATTGTAGCTGTCCTAATGCGTCTCAGTGATGTTTATGTGTGATCGCCATACAGCTTCATATAGATTGTGTTGGCAGTCGCCCGGCGAGGACAAGCTCCATGTCATCTCTGTGCTGTGCTGGTATTTTTCTAGAAATGTCCAATCCAACCACTAAGTGGAATTCTTCCATCTCCTTCCTCGGTCAGTATAAGGCTGAACCATAGTCCTCTGGGGTAGGGGTAGGGCACAACTCTGGTTACTGAAGGAGAATGCGTCAAACAGGTGATGTGAGAGGAAGGAATGCAGCTAAGGTCCCTACTCCCATCCCCCCTGACACGCATTGTGGCCCCCACTAGAAAAATGCTTTGAGTCAGGGAGTGCCCATCCTATGCCTGTGTTTATCTGTTGATCTTGTATCATCTGATGGATAACAAGCCTCCAGGAGTGGGAGGAGCGCTCCAAGCCCGCCACAAAGACTTGACCCTCAAATCCTAATGTGAGAAGACTTTTACAGTAAGATGTCTTTTGTGACCTCAAGCCTTAGAGGTCAGTGTTTTGGGGGAAGCTGTGAGGCCAAAGGCCACTGTGCAGGTAGGAAATGGAGAGAAAGTGCAGACAGCTCTTTTGGCATGCGCAGCCAGCTCTAGTGGGGGGGCGGTGTCTGTCCCAGTCCTTGAGTTCAATTTGCCTCTCAGCTGATCCTACTGCTGCAGAAGCAGGGCACCTCTCTCTGAACCCGGGTCACCCTAAAGGGTATGTGATGTGATTCACTGAGGTCAAAAGTATTTTTCTTGACATTTGTTCTTTAGTGATTGAGATCACTTTGAGAAAGCCATATCCCAGGGTCATGTGTGGAAAGGGATTGGGTGTGTAGTCGTAAATAGAGTGAACCTGTTGGTGTCATTTGCCAAAGAAAAAGGGATGCCTTCATCCTTCCCACTGGGGCAGAAGGAAACTAACTAGTACTTATGTGCAATATGTTGACGATGCTGTGCTCGAAATTCCTGAGGGTTTTGCACTCAGAGGAGCTCCAGGGCTGTTTGAAGAGTCTGGGGATACAGGGTAAGCGCAGGGAGAGCCTGGGATAAAAACTTTCACGTACAGAAATGGCCTTGACCTAGAACAGATGGGAGTGTGGGCGGGGTGTTCCTGATGCTAGCTGCTGGCCCGGGACATCCGGGAAGTAGCTAATCAGGCACTTGCACTAGTTAATGAAAGCACTTTCAGAAACCTGGCACTTCCGCCTTGTTCCACATTCTCCTCTGGCAAATACGTGTATCCTTTATCTGTGTGAGGTGTTGTCCTAAGGCTGGGTGAGGGGATAGGGACGGGGCCAGCGTGAGGGAGAAAACGGGCATCTTTCAAGGCAGTAGCTTTGAGAGAGTCTGCACCTAGCCAGTCCTTGGCCGTCCTCTTCACTGGAAGCCCGAGAAACAGAATGATATGGGTTTATATCTTGGTACCCACTTTTGTAAAGAAAAAAAAAAACAGCCTAGCCAATTGCAACAATTGCAACACTTTGTGGCCCAATCATTTCACTCTAAGTTTCTTACTTGCTGTCTGACCTTTGGCTCCTGTTCCCTGAGCTAGCAAATGAAACTATCCAGTGGTAAAAGCATTCTCACCCTGAAGCCAGGGGAGCCCAGAGTTCCACTCTCTGTCTAGCTCAGGGTATGTACTGGGGGCAGGGGTGAGACACTTTCCACAAGGTCGTCAGCCTTCAACAGGATGAGATCCACATAGTCCTGGCTGAGGTGCCTAACATGAAGAGGCTAGCTTACCAGGACAGACCCAAGCCATAGTTCCTTGTGGGGATGGTAAGGAATTAACCCCTCATCAGGCTCGTTGACAACTTCCAGTCTTGCGTTAGCCTTGTCGTCGTCCCCACCGAACAGCTTTTAATCTGAATGTTGTGACCACTTGGCCGTCTCTTGCTTGCTTGCAGACAATACTAGCAATACACTTGTTTCCCCAAACAGCTCAGCTTAGACAGTTTTCACACATTGCTTTCAAATGATTGTAAAAACACATGGGGCAACAGGAGGCATGGATCACACTGCATATGTTTTCGGGCAGCTTTTGTTTTTTGAATTTTAACGGTAAAGCAGCAGTGACCAAGCCTTTGGGATTTGGGGAGACAGATCTTCACAAAGCCATTTCATCAGGATGCCTTGCACGTCAGAAGGAGTACGGACATCCAAATACCCAAATGGAGGGGCTTGCAACCTATGATTTTGTAGATGATCTGTCTCTACTGTACAACAGCTCCTCTGAAAGGTATTCATGTGACTTCAACCCCTCTGTGCCATATTATTTTTTTTGTCAAAGGATTCTCCAAGGAAGCCTCAGCAAGCCTCCTTGCTCCTTTTCGCTGGCCTTGGGTAGTGTCCTTGTGGAGGGGATTAGCCAGCACTTTGCCTTATCAATGTGTGGTCACCAGTCTAGTGGTCAAAGACTGGTGTCCACTGGCCACCAAGATGGAAGGCAAAACTTAAGGTCTTTTGATCAGTCACCATGGCGGCCAACGTTAGCTTGGCAATGAAACTCAATGATACAAATGAGTTGTTTTACGTGTTCAGTACCAACTCGGAACATCAGCAACTACCTAGATGCCTATACAGTGCGAAAAATGCATTGGTTATCCTGTGGTAGAGGAGATGGGGTTGAACCCTGTGTCCAGGTGTCCGGTGTGGTTTACTCTAACTGCAATACTGGCAGCCAAGCTGCCAACCCTGTTAAGTGAACCTCTGCTAGGTAGCTTACATGGTACCTTTGGGGCAAGCGAAGAAATTGGGTATGAGGATTAGGGGAGAAGGGGCCCTGGCCATGACCTTTGATATGGTCCACTGAATAGCCAAACAGGTTTTTTGTTGTTGTTCTTGTTCTTGTTTTTGTTTTAGGGTTTTTTTTTTTTTTTTTGTATTTTGTATTTTAAAATCTTGTCAGGCGTTTTTGTGTTAGGAATAATAAGTCATAAATTATTCCCACCTTGGTTTCTGAAGGGGTGTTCTGATTCCAGTTGAAACAGGTTGGAGATCTCATGGGGAGCATGGTCTGGGGAGTCCATGGGACAGGGCAGTGGAGCGCTTGGGTTTCCAGGTGGTTGCTGGGGAAGATGACCCTCCGACGGTCTGCAGTGCTGTCAAGTACAGAGAGTCACGCTTGCCTCCTTGGCTCCTGAGTCCTGTTATCATGGGCCTGAGCACAGGCTTCTAAGAGAAGCAGCTGCTGAGGTTGAAGACAAGACTCCCTAGCTCCCAAGCCCCAGTTAGCAGATGCAATCAGTAGCTAGCCTTAATCGACTGGGCAAGGTAGTTCCTGTGCTCCCTCCCCGCAGTTCCAAATCTTGGACTCAAAACCCTTTTCTCTTAGTGTGACCTAGTGTGACCAGCAGCCTAGAGAATTTTGAGCAATAGGGAGCCAGGGCTTTCCCTGGCTCTGTGACAGGGTCAAACCAGGGAATGGCTAAACTTGAGAGGTTTTTGTCATACCCAGGGTTCTACTGTAGGGGGCATTATGTATTAGGGAGCTCAACAAGGTAACTGTAGCCTGGAGTATGTGAATGTAAGGTTGTGTTTGTGGGTGCGGGTGCTTGTGCGTGTGTGTGCGCACGTGTGTGTGTGTGTGTGTGTGTGTTGTATTGATGCATTTCTTGAGAAAGGTGCAAGAATTTCACCTATACAGAGGGACACATCTGCTTTATTATTTATAATAGAAGCTAAAATTTAATTTTTTAAAGGACACTGCTAATGATTGAAAATCGAGTTTTTAGTTTTGCTATTTTTTTTAATTGGTAGAAGATTTTTATATATTTTTTCCCATTTCGTTGGGTTGTGTCCTTATTTATATAAATACTTTATCCGTGAGCGGCGAGGAAGAAGACTTCTTTGCTCTTAATTATTGTGGTTGTCATTGTCCCTATTTTATTTCCGGTGTGATTTATCTGTCTTACCTTCTAAATGAGAAACTGTTTTCCTGTCTTTGTACATTGTCAGAGTCTATAGTTTCGTAGATAATTTAACCAAATTGCTCTACGTATTATTATTCTGTGACTATAAAGTTCTATTTTAACGTCTGTAAATACTTCAGAACTGGTTTCTTTTCTCGGCCCCTGCTGGGAGCTATTGTTTACATCACAAAAGACTGTAGAATCTCTATGCTCATGTACTGTAAATAGTGATGTGATCTGCTTATATATAAACTGAACAAATACACTATGGAAATTAAAAAACACCACCCACAGTCCTGCCCAGGGGTGTCTTTCTTTATTGGTCCTGTGAACTAATTGTGGGGGTTGGGGCGGGGGGGGGATGTTGGGGGGATGACGGGACAACAACACTCTATTCACCAAGTGAAGGAGAGAATCCAGATCCAGTCTTGCCTCAGAAAAAGTCCTGGCCGATGTTGGGTTTGGGCTTTTTTGTTTGTTTGGTTGGTTTTATGCTGGGAATTGAATCCAAGGTCTTGTGTGTTGGTACCATGGTGTTAGACCGCTATACTTTCTTATTTTCCTCTTGAGACCGAGTCTCACTAAGTTGCCCAGTCTAGTTCAGAACTTACTGTGTACCTCAAGTTGACCTCAAACTTATAATCCTCCGGCCTCATCCTTGTGACTAGTAGGAGCATAGTTAGAATCATACTGGGTCTCAGCCCAAGGCTGCTCTTCCAACCTCATCAGATATAGTGACAAAAATCAAGTCCTTTTAGTATCTATTAACTTAGGAGAACACTAGCTTCCAGTAGCCCTAAAGCCAAGAATGTCGTCAGACGGCGTTTTGTCCTGTAGAAAAGATGCCCTCATCTTGTACCTGATTCTCTGGTGTGTTTTAAACTTGCCTTGACTTAGGACTCTATTTATTCTGTAACACTTTAAAAACTTTGTAAAACTGTTTCCACGCTGGAACATGAAATTTGGAGTAACCTAAAAAAAAAAAAAAAAGCAAGCCCAGCAGGACTGATGCTGTATGCTCCAGGGCAACTTCTCTTCCAGTAGAGACATCTCTCTTCTCCTTGCCACTTAGTGCTTAGTGACTAAACACAGCATGCTTAGGGACAAGCCTCTGCTGGAAAAACCAGTGTCCTTAATGCCACTTACAACAGAACTGAAAACACAGCTCAAGGTTAAAAGATCGGAGTCCAGGCACATCCCGCCCTAACAGGACAGGACGCGTGCTCCCGAGGCCCAGAGAGATCAGCAGTGGAAGTCACAGCCTGTCTGTGCCAAAGGCAATGTTCTCTGATCTTGAACAACTTCTGGAAGAAGTCCAGGGACCTGGGCTGGAACTTGAACCCTACTCCTCCACTCTCTGGCCTTCAGTTTCCTGCTTTATTTAAAAAGGGCCTTTAGAGTAGGCTTGTGGTCCATAAACAGTTTGGAGGGAGATATGTACTTCCTTCTTCTTGAGGCAGCTTCTGCAGAACCAGTCCCTCAGTTGGGGAGGAAGAGATGTTTGATAGAAGGCAGTGGGGTGTTGTGGGCCACACCAGGGGATAGAAAAGATTAACAGAATAAGGGGCAGCGACCCTGTCTTTGCAGCAAGTCACTAATAAAAGGGACAGAAATGGGTGCTGACAGGTTACACCAGCTGCCTGTGCCAGCACACAGTGGGGGTGTTGACTAGCCCAGCTAATCTCACAGCCTCTGGGTAGAGCAAGGCATCTCTCTAAACCTTCAGTTTGGCCTTTGTTAGAGCTTTTAAAAAGCTGGGGGCGGGGAACAATAGAAACAAAGTTTCAGTGTGAGTGGTGGATGGCAGATACTTTTGACAGCTGTTTGTACTTGGTGGGTGAACAACTTTTAGGATCTTTTGTTGATTTCACCAGTTTCAACTGTATGGATGCTAACTCTGCCAGGCATTGCTGGCATACTTAGATTTGGTCCATTTTTAAGTCAAAAGGGCCTGTTGAACAGAAGATCGCCAACCGAAATCAATAGAAAATTCAAGAATAAAAAGTAGGCCTTAAGTAAAAAGAAAGCAAGCAAAAAGAAACAGGACAACTAAATTCAATATATAAAAACTGGATTAAGTTGAAGCACACCATCACTTTATTTGCTGTTACGTATGTAGTGTGTGTGCTTGTGTAAGTAGGTCCTAGGACAGAACTCAGGTCATCAGGTCTAGGAGGAGGAGCCTTTACCTGCTAAGTCATCATTTTGACCCCCAAACTCTTACGATTTTTGTCTTTGTTCTTTGGTTTTGTTTGAGACAAGGTCTCTCACACTTGTAGCCCAGCCTGGAACTTCCTGCGTAAACCAGTCTGTCACTGAATTTAGGGCAATGTTCTTGCCTCTGCCTCCTGAGTGCTGGAATTAAAGGGCGTGGTCCACCACACCCAGTACAAATAGTGTCTTACAGAGTTGTGACCATAGGGGGGGACATTGGTTCAAAGAAACAGACTCTAAATTGATCTCTATGTATAAAGCATTGATATAAGACTAGCAAGGACCTGGGGGGGGGCTGGAGCTAAATAGCCTTGCACAGTGGACCCATGCTAGGCAAAATGGCAGGCTTTTCCACCTCAGGCATCAGTTCTCTTGAGAAATGCAGAATATCCTGCAACTGCAGAAAACCCTGGAGGAGCTGTCCGCTAAAGCCCCCACTCCTCCATTTGCAGCTCGTCAGAATATATTCCACAGCCAGTATGAAGCCTTCACCTTCTTCATGTGACAGTGTCGTGTTAGGAAAATGCTCTGTCCCTTTAAGGGTATGTGACTTTCTCCTTGAGATAGGGTCTAACTGTCTAGACCAGGACCTCTTAAACTCCTGCTCTTCCCATTTCTTTCCTTAGTGTGGGGATTACATGGGACCTTTAGAGACGCACAATTCTCCTAAAGACTATAGCAGAGGGAAATGATGTGTGTGGAAGTCACCTTTAATATTCCAGCTAAGTCGTGGGTAGGAAGGCTGAGAGTTTAACGCAAGCCTGAGCTACATGGTGGGATCCAGGAAGAAAGGAAGGAGGGGAAGGGGGAAATTTGGAAATGAATGTAAAAACACATGAAACAAATAGAACCACAGCTTGATGTTCAAATCTGGGGTTAAGTTTATGGGTATTTGAGGTATAATTCTCTGTTTTTGGAAATTAGCAAAAAAATTATGATAAACACTAAATTATAAGAACTTATATGAATTAAAGCGTTATAAGAACAAAAAATAAAGTAAGTCAAAATATGAAGTCTGGAATATAGGGCTAAACTCAATAGACATTTCAAGATTAAAAACAATCTCTAAACCCAGGCATGGTGGTACATGCCTTTAATCCCCACACTAGGAGGCAGAGGCAGGTGGGTCTCTGTGGGTTCAAAGCCAGCCTGGTCTACAGAGCGAGTTCCAGGACCGCTAGGGTTACACAGCAAGTTCCTGTCTAAAACAAAACATAAAAATAAAAACCAAAACTGCAACAAAACAATGTCTAAAACCTCTTGATGATACAGATGCCTGCTGTATTTCCCATCAGTTCTCAACTCCTGATTCTTTAACTTTCCGAGAAGATGTATGGCTTTCCACTGGCCTGGGCGATCCCTTCCTTCTTGAGGGCTGTGCCCCCTGCCAGCCGTGCCCTCAGCTACTGGATGCAACAGGACTTGGATGTAGGTGCGCCCCCTGGGTTGGGGTTTCCTCCTGCCTGGTTCCCGGAAGCAGCTGTGAAGGACAGGAAAGCCCAAGGCGGGTCAGCGGGAGCTGCAGCAAACTCGCTTTTGACCTGTTTGGATGAAGCTCAAGGCTTGGCCTGAGCAGAGAGCAGACCGTGGGGGTGGGGTGGGGGTGGGGTCAGGAGAGGCAGGGAGACCAGAAGTGCTTCCCCGCTGAGAAGTAGCACAGGGGGACACATGGCAACCATGGCTCGGATGCCTGTGTGGCACAGGGAGCTGTGGGAACTGACATGGGGGAGAGAACACCAAGAGAAAAGTTATTGTTTAGCTTCAGCCACGATCATGGAAACATGTCTACTGGTGTGGCCAGATCTGAACTTTTTAAAAAGAAAAGTTGGCAATCTGTTTTTGTTTTGTTTTGTTTACATCTGGGGTGTCCCAACTTTAAAACGTGGACAAAAACTTCATATTTTAAGGACAAGCTCCTGGGCTAGAGGCATAGCTTAGGGACAAAGCACTTGCTTAGTATTCATTCATTTAGACTGTTTCCTTGAACCAATGTCACCCTATGGTCACAACTCTGTAAGACACTATTTGTTCTGGGTGTGGTGGACCACGCCCTTTAATTCCAGCACTCAGGAGGCAGAGGCAAGAACATTGCCCTAAATTCAGTGACAGACTGGTTTGCACAGAAAGTTCCAGGCTGGGCTACAGTGTGAGACCTTGTCTCAAACAAAACCAAAGAACAAGGACAAAAATCATAGAAGAGTTTGGGGGTCAACATGATGAATTCCCAGTCCTGCTCTTTTTAGAAAGGAAAAACTGTAGGGCCCTGTATTTCCACAAACATAGTTTTTGCAATAGCTAAACCCACCCATGAGGGCAGTGTTATATAAGACACCCTGGAGAGACAGCAAGGGTGTCCCCAATCTTTGAAATTGTTCTTTTTAAATCACCCCCAGCCTACCCATAGAAGAACTGGGGACCAACAGTGTCTATGCAGAGAACAGAGGATCATGTGCTCAGACACTCAAACATCGTGTGACAGGGGCAAGAAGCCAAGTCCTATGAGGAAGTAGAGCACACAAAGAAATGGCAAGCCTGGCGGAGGCGGAGTGCCTTGTGCGAGGAGCTGGGACAGACAATTCCATCTGAAGCTAGGGTCAGTTGTATGCTCTGGTTTCCTGATGTCTCTGCTCTACCCTGACTAACTTCTCTTCCAGCACACAGGCTGTTTCTCTGTCTCTCTATCTCTCCCTCTTTGCATTTATTAGTTGGAGGGCACACATGCCACAGCTCATGTGGCAGTCAGAGGACCACTTTTGGGAGTCAGTTCTTCCTTCCACTTACTGAGGCAAGGTCTCTTGTTTCTGCTGGGATTACAAGCCTATGTCCCTATGCTCGGCCATCTTTCACTAGTAGTATACAAGCCAAACCTCATGGTGGCAAAGCTGGGATTCAAATAAACAAGCAACTGTAACGTCAGCTTTTAAAATTCCTTCTAACTGAAAATTCTAGGCAAAAACGTCTGCAGGCTTAGAATTAGAATCTACCTTACGTTCTACGGTGGGATCCTAGCATCCCTCAGCCTCTCTCTAGGGACCAGATTCTGCCATGCATCTGACTGCGTGATTTGACTGCCATATCTTGCCTCCAGCAACCTCAGTACCCTCCCACACAGAATGGAGACAACAGTCCAGGCCCAAATGGACTGCACGCTGACTGTGTGCCTGGCCGGGACTCCACCTTGCCTCTTCTGCACACCTTGCTTGGCCGGCTCCTGCTTCTGCTTCTCCTCCTCCAGTGCCTTCATCTTGGCCTCGTACTCGTCAGCCAGTGCCTTCCATTCCTTGCGGTTGTTGGTTATCCCATCCAGCATGGGTGTAATTTCCTCATGAAAACGGGAGAATTCCTGGGAAGGAGACGTGTGGGAGGGACAGTGCAAGGGATGGAGGAAGCGAGAGACAGAGAGAGAGCAAGACTATAAAGCAGGGGCATTGCTCTAGGACCCTGGCTCAAGGTAGGGTGCATTCTGCCTGGCACTGGCGTAAGCTGCCCCTCATACCTACTGGCACTAGGGAGCTCCTCCTTCCCCTGTTTGAAGCCTTCCTCACGGCCGTTCCTTCAGGGTGAAATGTGAGTCTTTGCGTGCCATTTCCTGATCCCCTTTCACCATCCAGAAGCTCCAGGCACCCCAAGTCTCACTTCATGAGTGTTTCCTCCCACCTGTGACTTCCTACAGCTGTTCTTTTTCTGGAACGCTCTATCCTTCCCCTTTCCCTTGAGCTTCCTACTTCCCTAATACTTTCTCAGGGAAACCTTTTCTAATTCCCCTAGGTAAACCGAATCCCCATTGGATGTCCCCAAAGTCCTCTCTAATCAACTCCCACTTCCTTATAATGATTCCCTCTGCCTGCCTCTTCCAGAGAATGAGACCTAGAGATGGAGGAACCCTGGCTGCCTCGTCCCCTTGGCTGGTTCTGGCTTAACAGAGCCAAGGTCTGGACACATAAATATGTCATAAATATTCACTGAGTAGAACTGGGTTATTGAGATGATTCGTGCAAACTCCTGTAACTCTAGGGGTTGAATAACACCTTGGGCAGTTTATTTCCTTGGGTCTTTTGAGTCCCTCCACCCCCCACTCCATGAGAGATGTCTCATCACTGCTGCATTTGTAGGTGAGAGAATGGGTTGCAGATTGGCAAAGTAGGATTGCTGAGCTGAGGAAGGTCCATTGCAGTAGGGGGCAGTCAAGGTCTAGTGTGCCCAGAGATGCCTAAGCTGTGGTCTAGGCTCTCCCAGAAGCGATGTGACTTTGGGACAGTCATTGCCAAAGCTCACTTTCATCTAGATAGAAGGGGAGTAGCTGCACCTATCCAAGAGTAGCTGGGATTAAGTCAGTAACATGAAGCCCAGCATCCCCATTGCTAACACTACTGCTGGCAGTGTGAGCATCAGCCATGCTGTCTGGTTGACCAGAAGGCCCTACTTGGTCTGTATAACAAGATAGATACTTGGCCCCTCTGGGATCATTTGTTCTTCTTCCTTATAAAGGAACTACAGCTCATACTGTAGAAAGCCCTGGCCTGGGTGGTAGGTGCCCCAGCTCCAGTCCTGCTGCATAGGTGACTTCAGAGATGCTTCTCTTTTCTGACCTCTCGCTCCTTGTGTATAATGTGGCCAACAGAAAAATGACATTGTGTCATAAAAGCATGCTTAGCCATTTGTCCTGCGAGTTTTTATTGAGCGAGCAGGAAGAACCAAGCTCCAGGCTTCAGCCAAAAGTACCTACCATCTCCCTCTTTAGAGTTGTCCTGAGAAACAAGTGCCACTGGAGGTAAAAATTTTCCTATGCTTTCCAGGGTTCGTTATCCCTGCTGTCCCCTGGACTCTAGGAAGCCTACCTTATAGACGAAGGTGCACACAAAGTCAATGAAGCCAACTTGAAGCTTAGGGAGTTCATCTGCCTTGTTTCTGTCCATCATGGGCTGTCATGGGAGAGAAAGAGTTAATGACATGGGGCAATAGTAGGGATTCACACAATCTAAGAAACAGTCTTGCTTTTAAAAAAAAAAAGGAATGGTGGTACAAGCCTGTAATCACAAGTTCAAGGTCACCCTACTAGATACATAGTGAGTCAAAGGCCAACCTTCGATGTGTGAGACACTATTTCAGAAATAAAATAAAATAAAATTCTAAACTCACCAGGTTTCTAGATTTGACTAGCAATTTGGAGAAAATATAGAATACACAGGGGAATGTGTTAATGACCCTAGCATATCTAGTATAAGTGACCAAGCCAAGAGTGTGGGAAGTACTATACAAACACCTACTATCTTTAACAATGGTGTGAAGGTGAAAAGAGGTAGGGGGAGGGAGGGATAGAGGGAAGAGGTAGGGGGAGGGAGGGAGAGAGGGAAGAGGTAGGGG